TGATGTCAAAAAATTCCAATTAGAAGGAGGCATGTAGTAAAACTGGAATTCTACCGGGCATTAAACACCATGAAGGCAAGACAATATTTGTTTTGCTCCTTACTGTATTCCTACACAATGCCATTAAGATAATAGGTACTCTGTAAGTATTCTTGAATGAATTATCTTGTTTATGATTTGCATTACATAACACTGAGTTGATTTTTATCAGCATGGTTTAGCATGGCATGGCAGTTGGAAGTATGGAATCTAGAACAAAACAGGCTGGCTCCTCCACTTATTTATGTGTGGCCTTGGGCACCGTAGTAAAACTCTTTGTGCTTCAGATTCCTAATCTGTAAAAAGGCAAATTAGTGCTACCTCACAGGATTGTTATGAGAATTAAATAATTAATACTTTCAAAGTGCTTAGAAATGCATCAGACACATATTTACAATTATATACATTTTAAAAATATTTTTGTTAATTATATAGAAGGAAGATATTTATGTCACAACCTGACGCTAATATGCCACATGACTGCAAATCAGCAGGTCAAAAATCTTTCAGTTGAAAACCTCAGTCACTTAAAATCTACCTAATATGCAAATAGATGTTACCACCTCTCCTGCATCAATTTTTCAGTCAATCAAGCTGTTGTGCTAACCACGTGCTGATTTTGTGCATCTCCTGAGTTTGCTCTCTGCTTCCTCCATGAATTTTCATGATTCCTGGTCTACCCTCTTATAGGACACTGTCACCTACTTTGTTCTATGTCTTACGACTATGTGTTAGTCCCTTCTCACACTGTCTTGACCCCAGTATGAGCCAATACTGTGCCCCACTTGCTATACAGGGAGATCAAATAGGTAGAATTACAGATCCCTGAATTTTCAGAAACCCCTATTCATTCTATCCACTAAACCTTGACTTCAATAGATCATTTCAATAGATGCCTCCATGACATCCTGTAGTCCAGAGATGCCCAATGGGGCAGCTGCAGCTGGTTATACTGATATACTCAGTATCTTTTCTGGTATGCCCACCCAGGACCATCCAGTAACTGTCTATGCCCACCTCTTCTGCCTTATTCTGTGCTCTCCTCAAAGCTGCTTAACAGCAGGCAGTGACTGCTGGTGTCATCTACTGCTTTGCTCAGCTATACATTTTGTGGTATAATGTTCCCTTCCAGCTATAGAAAATAATAAAGTAGCTGAGAGAGCTGTGATCTGAACTAAGAACCCAGAGCTCCTTGGATTCTCCAACAGCATCAATCAGAGTCTCTAATTCTTTCTTTTTCCTTTTTCTATTGGCTAAGTTTGCATCAGAACATATGAAGCCCATTTTCAAAGTGTTTAGAGTAGCATAGGTTTTTTTCATAAATTGGCATAGATTGAGAGACCACAAAAATAACTAAAGGGTGTTCCTGTGAAAACACTGAACTTACTGTGAGATGGATTCCGACAAATGATCATTTTATCACCTGACCTGCATACAGCAATCTGCTCCCCCATTCTAACAGAGGACCATTATAACATTTTGGGGTTATCTGTTGTCATGTTGGCTCAGAGTGTACATCCAAAAGCTCTTAAAAGATCTGGATATTTCCATTTCCAAACTGTACAATTATTTAGGTAAAAGACAAATTATTTAAAATCCCTTTAGATAAGAACTAGAAAAGTTGCTACTATACACACTTTCTGTGATATTGCAGGGACTTTCCTCAAGAGAATCCTGCCCCTTGAATTGACAGGCCCTTAGAACTGGCTCAGGTCTGGAAACTGAGTGAGCAACGGTAATTTTCCGCTGAAGTGGCTGATAACAGCTTTCTGCACTCATTTTTTTTTTTTTGACCCATAAGGGGATCGCAAGCTTTGGCTTGCTGCGCACCGGCCATCCCTATATAGGATCTGAACCCGCGGCCTCGGTGCCAGCTCCACACTCTCCCGAGTGAGCCACAAGGCTGGCCCCCTGCACTTACTCTTGATACATATCAAGCAATCGATACCCTTGTTGGTGTGTTACACCTCTCGCTGTGTAACAGAGATGAAAAAAAGATTACTCAAAGCAACATGAATGCAGTCCCAAAGGGACTGTACCTCAGCAACTCCTCTGTTAGTAGGAGAAAACTGGGCGCAGCACCAATTCAAAGTTAGGTTCTGTTTTTTATTATAAAGACAAGGAAGTTTCACAAGAAAAATCAGTTGATTCAATCATTTCAAAAGGACACAAAAACATGGGCAATGTGACAAAAGTTATCTATAGCTAAGTATAGCTTCAGCAATAGAAACTAGTAACATCATTTAAATTAACAAGGTGACATTCCAAAGTACAATTTGTGAAAAGCTAAATTGATCAGACTTCGATTGTTATCTAACCCAAAATATAACCTTTCCGCAAATGATTTAAGAAAAAGAAGTTTCCACCAACAAACAGCTTGCCCTTAGCAAACATTTTTTTCACATATTTTTACCTACAGCAATTCTTTCAACATCTTTTAACAACAATCGAAATGTTAAATAGTCAGAGTACACAATCCCATCCCTAATCAGTGATTAGAATTGATTAGATGGTCTTTTGCCACACTATCTGTGGACTTTTTTACCCTGGCCAAGACTTTTGTCTCATGCATGCATTACCTAAAAACCCCTATCTAAAAATCAAATGAGAATCAAGATTTCTAAGCCTCCACAGGTGTGCATAAAACTTTTCCTTTGATCATTTGCCATCTCCTTAGATCCACGTAGGTCAGGACTCTCTGTCATTCCAACTTTGCTGCCTATTACAGTAATTTCAACCAAACTTCTTTTTTTTTTTTTTTAATACAAAAGGTACCTGTCCTCATTCCTCCCTATTTTTCCAACCTCCTTTTAGCTCTCCTTAGCACTTAATTACCCTACTATATCTACAGTGAAACCTTATCTGCGGTTTCACTTTTCTCAGTTTCAGTTACCCCTAATCAACTGCAGTCTAAAAATAAGTAAGTACAGTAGAAGAAGGCATTTTGAGAGAGAGAGTACATTGACATACATTACTTTACAGTATATTGTTATAATTGTTCCATTTTATTATGAAACAATCTTTT